GGCTGGGAAGGCAGGCAGATGAGAACCTGCTGAGCAGGAGCAGGCAGTGTGGAATCCATGGCAGCATCAGGGAGGGCCAGGCCAGGCATGGAGGAGCTGCACTGCCCATCACCAGGCTGCAGCAGAGCTCCAGCTATGACCCTGCTCCCTTCCACAAACGCTCTTTGATTTTCCTGTGCACAGCACTGGTGGGAAGCAGCTGAAACAGACACACAGGACAGCTCCAAGGCATCTCTAACCCACTAGCCAGGTATCCAGGCTGGCTCCCTGCAGAAAGGGCAGGATCTGGAAAGATCTGATGGGTCCCAACTTCCCCCGAGCTTGTCTAGCTATAGCCCCCTCCAGTCCGACTGGAGTGGTGAGAACTAAAAGCTTTATTTAGCAGGGACAGCCAGAAGAGAAATATGCCAAAACCAGCCCAAAACCCAGCAGAAATGCCGAACTAAAAGGAAAGTAACCAAGCATTTCCAACCAGCTCCTTGAACATCGCTACCAAAACAAAGCAGGAGCTTTGTTTATCTAACGGGGTTAGCAGACAACCAGCGTTAAACGCATGGCTGCAGGTAATAATTACTTGGGGAATGTTATCTTTATGAATCAGCCTCATCCTGCGAGCTCTACACAAGTCCCTAAACTACACCCAAGTGCAGACACTGAAATGTTCAAAGCTTATGAAGCGTTTGCTGGAAACCATCAACCCGAGCCCAGCTCTCGCTCCCCCTGCGCACACCCAGGCAAGCAACAAAACACCACCTGTTCTTTGGGATCCTCAGCTGCGAACGCGGTGTTCCCACAAACACCGACTCCCGGGCTAAAATGGGAGAGCTGGGAAGAAAAAAACCCAAAACGCAAGGAGAGCAGAGCCTGAAGCAGGCACACGCACAGCTGCCGGCTGCTCTGCGCTGGCCCCAGGCAATGTCTCCATGCCTGTGCAGCGGGACGGGCCCCGCAGGCACGAGCACCGCTGGGCACTTTTCCTACGGAGCCTCGGTGCCAAGAGAGCCCCACCGGGCTCCGGGGACACCCCCGGGCCGGCACCCCGCACCCAGCTCCGGAACGCCCCACGGAGGGGAGCGACCCGGGCCGGGCTGAGGCGAAGCAGGCGGGGCCTGGCAGCGCACCGGCACCGGGGAGGGCGCAGCCTCCGCCTAACCGGAACCCCTTCCCCTCACCTTGGCCCTGCCTGCCTCCAGCTTGCGCCGCCGCGCCTCCTCCTGCGCCTCCATAGAGCGGCCGGGCTGCCCCGTGCCCCCCGCGCCCTCACGGCGGCGGCGGCAGTGCAGCGTCGGTCATGGCCGCCCCGGGCCCTCCCCGCCCGCCGCCGCGCCGCGCGGGGCGGAGCTCTGCGCCCATTGGCCACAGCTCCTGACGCGCCGCGGCCGCCGGCCAATGGCGATGGCTTTCCTCAGCCGGGCTCCGCCCACTCGCGCTAAGTGGCTGCTGGGATAGCCCGGGCAAGCCGGCGCGAGCAGCCAGCCACGCCCCCTCTGCGGCAGCCACCAATGGGAGCGTCCGGCGCCATTTCAAAAGGGCCGCCGTCCCCGCCCAGCGCGGGAGACAGCCAATGGGGAACGCGAACTAGGAGGAGGCCGATGGAGGCGGGGCTAGCGGCGGCCAATGGAGGCGGGGCTAGCGGCGGCCAATAGGGTGCGAGGAGGGTTGGTGGCTCCTTTCCCGCCTTTTTGTTTATTTGTAAATTTTTAGCCAAGAAATGAATTAATGCTCATTGGCTCTGAGGTGCATGATTCTCTTCAGTAGTCAGCATTCCGTCCTGTGTTACTTATTGATTTCTCGCTCTTCATGCTAATTTGGTCGCCATTCTTTAATCCCTCGATTGTCATTTTGTTGTGCATGGAGTTGTCTCCAACTTTCCAGGCTTCTGTCTCCTCTGGAGTCTTCTGGTTACTCCAATGTCCTTGAAGGGCCAAAAATTTAAGATCCCAGATGTCCAACCTTAAATTCCCTTTTGCTCTGCTTATTGAAGCTACAAAACTGGTGGCTTCTTTGTATTTTGAAGTCACTGAGTTATAAAAATACAGGCTTTAGTCAAATGTGTTACTCGGAGCAGCGTGCTGGATTGGCGAACATTAAAAAGCCCGTCTGCTTCGAGGGCAATGCCAAAAGACAAAGTCTGAATGATGAAATGTCTTAGGGAACACCTCCCAGGATCAGGCAGCCACAACTTTTCTGGGCAACCTGTTCCAGGGCTCCACAGAGAATAATTTTTTCCCTAATATCCAATCTAAACCTGCTCTCTGTCAGTGGGGAGACATTTCCCCTTGTCCTGCCACTCCAAGCCCCTGCAAATTGTCTCTCTCCATCTTTCTTGTGCGCTCCCTTCAGACCCTGAAAGGCCACACTTAGGTCACCCCAAAGTTCCTCTTTTTCAGGCTGATCAGTCCCAAGTCTCTCAGCCTTTCCTCACAGCAGAGCTCCTCCACCCCTATAATCATCTTGGCCATTACCATAATATATTTTTAAATTGTCTTTTATAACTCATAGAAATTAAAATTAAGGGTATAAAATATCAAAACCAATAAAAGACATCAAAGAAATACAATACTAGTATGGACCTCATGAGGTTATCTAATCCATTCTTACATCTGAGGAGCCCTGCAATGTTCAACACCTTTGGGTTTTTAATTGTTCCTAAACAACTTGTGTGAAAGGTTTTTTTTGTTTTGATAGCTGCTCCATCATTTCCCTTAGTGGGTAAATGAAGATTTTGCTCCCTGTTTCTATCAGGTTTTCTCTTCCTCATTAAGCCAAATGTTTTTCCAGACAAACCCCCCACTCCACCCCATTTTTTGATTGTATCCTCTCATTTATTTAAAAACTGCCGGCCTGTCCTCTTTTCACCATTTACTTACTAATTAAACAAAGCCAGTCGTTTAAAGCCTTCCTTAGAACATACATTTTGTAAATGCACCCTTAATATTTTTTTTTTTTTTCTTTCCTGGACTTTCTTTCCCTCTTGAACCACCATGTCTAAAAATAAACACAGTGCCCAAACTCTGACTTCAGCCCTGCTAAATAGAGCAGAATAATGATGTCCTGTGAGGTGCACGTAACACACCTGTTATTCCTTTGTGGCATTGCATTTGCCTGGTTTTGATCTTTTGAATTTTCATCCTCAAGTGTGATCTCTTGTGTGGGATTCAGTGTAGCTACAGAGCCCTTCCAGCCAGATCTGGGGTGTGGCTGGCACATTCCTGGCACCCCGTTAATGAGCAGGTTGTAAGATGTCCCAAGAGTAAGGATCACGCTGTGACCAAGGCATCCATAACTGCGGGAGAAGAAAGATCCTTTAGCAGGTTTGCTGAAAAGTGCCTTTTAAAAATAATCCCTGGATTAAAAAAATAAATAAATAAATAAATCCTGGATTTCCTCTGGGATACCTGTCACATCAAGCAAAAAAATTCTCTTTATTTCCTCTTTAGTAAATTCACACTGGTGCTGTACTTTTAATGGAACACTTATACCTGGTTCTTTTTGTCAAACTCTCTCGTGGCCCTCTTTTCATACTGCAATGAAGGCTCTAGAAATTCAGCTTTTAGGGGCACTGAACCAAACCAGTTGATGCTAAAATAATCAGCTCAGTATTCACCAGCATTCAAAAAGGGGTGGGTTTCTTTCCCAGCACTGGAGCAAACCGTGCCTCTGCACTTTGCAGGCATAACTAGGAAACTCCTTGTCAAAGGCTGCTGCAGCTGCTCACGTGGAGGGCTCAGAGAAAAATCTTGTTGGGTTTTCAAGTATAGAAATGGACTCAGAGTTGTTTCCCAGGAGAGCTGCTGGCAAGTGAGAGGATTTTCTCCTCTTGCTGTTCAGCCCAGCTCTGACCCATCACAGCTGCTTTAGGGATCCCTGCACCTTGGTTTCCCCGAGTTCTCCAGAGCCTTCCAGCCCGTGTGTTTTTAGGGATGGGGTGTGTGGGTCTGTGCTGCTCTCACACGGCTCAGGAGCATCCCTGAGCTGCTCCAGCTGCCAGCAGTGGCTCTGCTGCAGTTTTGCTGTGGCCTTTCGGGTGAGGAAGGGCTTCTAACTTCTCTCTCCTGGGAGCAGAGGATTCTAACTTGGTTGTAACTTGTCTCTCCTGGGCTTAAAATCTCCCACTGAGAAAGAGTGTCTGCCACTTGGCTTTCTTTCTCTTGCCTTGGTGTTCATTTCATGGATGTCTCTGATAAATGTGGCCCTGGTTTTATGCTGGTAGGGCTTTGCTGGGAAAGGGAGACATTCTGCAGCTTTCCTGGGAAATGGTAACCAAAAGGATGTTACACCATAGCCTCTTGACTCTTGAACTTACCCAGGAGAGGGTTCCAGCTATGCTCCTTCATTTTTTTAGTCACTGTGTGGTGATAACTCATGTAAAGGGCTATGTTAAAAGTGTGCAGACCCCTTCTAGTGGAATAAACAGGTGCCACTCAGCAAGACCATAATCTGACTGCTGGCACTGGGCTTGTTTTAAAGAACCATTGGCTTTTATTTCTTTCTTTCTTCTCCACTAATGTGCCAGGCATTTGCTTTGCCAAAAGTACACAAGCTTCTGTGCCTGGAGATGAAATTGTTTATGTTACCTGTTGACACTATAAACTTAGCAACCAGGAACAAGCCTCTGAGCTAATTAAAAGTCTCTAACAACACAGAGGCCAGGCTTAGTGATGCTGCCAGGGGAAGGATAGCAACCATTAGGAACAGACAAATAAATATTCGGTCTCAGTTGCCTTCCTGTGAGCACCACAACCTGCAGCACAAAAGTATGTGGAGAGAAATGGCAGGAAAAGCTGTGTCTGTGAGCTTGTGAATGCCTGTGCTCATTCTGAGCTGGGAGTGAGACTGAAGCTTTTATCTGCTTCTCTCAATTTCTGCTCATCTTGTATTTTTGTTTTTTAGTAATGGAATTATGCTGTGAGGATTGTGGAGGGGGAAAAAATGAGCCCTGGAAACCTATCTGCCTCTGTTTGTCTTTTTAACCTGCTTTTGCCTGCCTGCTCTTCCAGGAGATAATGGCAGATCCTTCAGTGGTGGATCACCTGGCACGACTGAAACTCAAACTGCTAGAAAAGGTAAGGGAATCGTTCTGCAGGGGTCACCTCTGCTCTGCTTTTTGCTCTTGCATGTTGAAGCATTAACACTGTGTGTTAAAACAGTATAACTCTACTGAGATACACTGAGGAGTGGTACTACTTGCTTTCCCTTTCTTAAATAACATTCTACAAGTTTACCTGGACCTGCAGTAAATTAAATTGACTTTCATTTTATGGGAGATGTCACCAGTTAGCTCAAAGCCAGTTTGAGCTGGGACAGACAAAGTTTAGGAGTAAATCTTGGGTAAAGAGAATCTCAGATTGTTTTAAGGCAATTTCATGTCTGCTTTCACATAAGATGTGTTGCCTGGTCAGACCTTTGCTGAATTAAGAGTCCAAACTCAACATTATCAAGTTCTTCATATGATGCAGCTCTCTGCCCTGCAAAATAAATTATGTCTCCTGATTCACTGTGCTATCAATTTTAAGGTCTGGAATAGCTTGCACAGTTGGAAGCATCACTGTTCTTCACTGTAACTACATTTGTAATGAGACATTTCCTACTTCTCTGTTTCCTCTATCCCAAACATGTGCCATAGGCTTGGAAATCTTTATGAGCTTTTCTGCCTGACTTATAACCAGTTCTGGTTATGGTTCTGCCAACAGAGACTAGAAAATGAACAGGAGAACTTAGAGAAGATGGAATTGTCTCTCCCAGCTGCAAGTAAGAGAAGCGTTTGTCCTAATTTTAGTCATACTTTGGAAAGGGCTTGCTTATGTTCTCAGGCATGAGTTCCTCAGGAGATGATCCCCTCTCTTCCCTTCATCTGTGAGCTAACTGCTTTTGATCTTTTGAATTTCTTCAGCTGTTTTTTTCCTGACCAAGGGAAGTGAACAACCAGCTGAGCACTAACATAGGATGGATTCCTGCCCAGGCGTCCTCTGCAGCCTCTCAGCTGGAGCAAACTGTGCTGATCCAGCTTGTCCCAGCTCTTACACCTAGGAGTACACCCTGCTGTAGTCCAGCTGTTTGCCTGGCTTTGGTGATCCTGAAAAAACAGGAGGAACACTTCATTTCTTTGCATGGCACATGCACTGTTTATATTATCTAAGGATCCAAGGCCACCAGTAGAAGCTCGGTGATCTTTCTAGACTGTACTGTGGGCTCCTATTCACTGATCTGGTGCACAAATAGTTGGAATTTTCTAATGCTGTGGCCAAACATTTTTAAAAAATCCCCTATAGCAGCTTACAGTTTCAAAATACAAAACGGTGCTTTCCAGAGCAGATGCCAGGCATGGCTCCAAAGTGCATGAAAACATTCTTGCTTATCTTCGTTTCAAAATCAATTGTGTGTGGGATGAACTGAAAAGGAAGTTAATTCAGAACAAAAAGGAAACAGAAAAGTTGACATTCAAACCAGAGTTTGATGGAGCTGTTACTACAAACAGGCATCCTCTGCATGCGCAGGGCACATCTAGAAAATTTCAGCCTGAAATGGATTCCTAAACCAGGAGGTTAAAAGGGGGCTTTAGAGAGCAATGTTAAGAGTTTATTTTGAGAGGTGTTTTGCCTTTGCAGAGCTGCTGAGCAGCTGTGGCTACACATGGCACAAAGTCATTGTCCATGCATGTATTTGACAAGAAAAGTAGCCCAAGCCTTTTGTGGAAGAACTCAAGCTGTTGAAGCAGGGCTGTGCAGAGTCCTCAGGCAGGTGCAAAGGAGTCTCTTTATTGCAAAAACCAGACCTTTTTGAGCAGTTAGGCCTTTACCAGTTACATAGTTTTAAATCATATCAAACACAATCCAACCAACCACCATACGTCACGATGTGAGCACTTCATGGTGGTATAAATTCTTTTTCTACCCCTAATTCAGCTGAGTCTCTTTCCCACAGTCCTTTTCTGCTTAGCCAAAGTAGCAGGCATGAGCAATGATTTTACAAGGGTAACAAGGCCTTATTTTGTAAGTTTTTACCCATATGCAACATCCAGCTATCCAATAACACATTTTCCACATTCATATCATGTGAATATATGATATGAATATATCATATATTCACATATATATATGTGAACGGGTGCTGTAATAGCTCTGTCTTTGTGATCCTTTGAGGAGATAATGGAGACTCTTCCTCTTCCAGGAAACAGACCTCAGGACATGCTCCAAAGTGCCCTGAGGCAAAGGAAAGATCTGCTGCAGGAGCTCAGGGTAAGAGCCCTCTCTGGCCTGGAGGAGCAGACATGGCCCAGTTGCCTGCACACCCACTGCTGATGTGGGTTCAGTGTTTTCCTGGCCTTTGGTTCTGGGGCTGGGCAGGATTTAGTGCTCTGCTGCTTTGGAATATAAAGGCTGGGCCAGCTAATCAGGGAAAGAGCCTGGAGAGCAGCCTGGCTTATCTCACTACAGCTGAGGGAGCTTGCACCTGCTTCAGGCACTAAGGTGGGATGATTCTGCTTCTCCTGAGCTGCTGTGGCAGAAACTTTCTGTGCCAAAATGCAAAGAAGGGATTTTTAGCGATGCCAAAGTAGAGACAGTAGTAATTGTTATTTATTCCTAGTTTGTGGAGGATACCAACAATTATTAAAATGTTTTCCTAGACTTTTGTCAGCTTGTTTTGCGCATTTTTTTTCCCAATCCTTTTTGCTTATGCTTCAAGATCTGTGGGAAGGAATATAGAGGCACTGGCAGTGCCCTTGCTGCAGGTTCCCAGGGGCTAATCCCTTTTAGTCCAGGGAGCATAACCATACTGTCTGCCTTGCTGTGACCAGATTTTCTTTAAGAAAATACTTGACTTTGCAGGAGCAGCACCTTCTGGAAGAGCTTTCACAGCCACCTGCACCAGATGGGGGACACTGCCATGACCACAGAGTTGCCCTGCCACAAATCTACCAGATCCCTTTTCCAGCTTCCCCGGTGGAGCCACCAAGGATTATCCAGCAGACAGTAAGGATTGTCTCCTAGAAAACACCACCAGCACTGTGCCAGTCTGAGCTGACAATCATTTGGGAGCTGTATGGAATTGTTCATTCCACAAAAAGGGACGATATGCCTCTTGCTCTTTTATGGGACCCTTGCTGCCTGCAGCGAAACCTAAGGGGAAATCATCTTGTCAATAAGGCCCAAAATTAACAATGGGAATGGTTTGCTCTTGGAGCAAGATGGCAAAAGGAGTGGTGTCACCATGACATATTTTATGAAAATCCTTTCGATAGGGTTTTCTCCTGAGAAGTTGAGGAGTCTCAGGAAAGAAATGTATATAATAACTATTTGCTGTTGTGGAATGCAACAGGTATATTTGTGATTGGTCTGTGTTGGTTGTATTTAATTAATGACCAATCACAGTTAGACTCTCTGAGAGTCACGAGCTTTTGTTATTATTCTTTTCTTTTTCTTTTTAACCTTCTGGAGGATCTTTTCTCACTATTCTTTTAGTTTAGTTTTAGTATAACATTTTAATATAATATCATATCATAATATAATAAACCAGCCTTCTAAAACATGGAGTCAAGATTCTCATCTCTTCCCTCGTCCTGGGACCCTGGAACACACCCATGGAATGGCAGGGCTGCTCACACTCCAGCCTTGCCATTCAGCCACTTTCTAATGCACCTCACTGTCTGCTCAGGCAGTCCACAGCCTCAACAGCTTCTCCACGACAATCCCAGAGTTTTCCTGAAGCCTAGGCAGATGACAGCTGTTCCCATAGCTAGGGAGCTGGCCAAAACCAAGCCTGACTTCTCCATTTTCCTTCCTGTTCCAGGTGCCAGCTCAGCCTGCCACCATCATCCAGCAGTTGCCTCAGCCCTCCCCTGTGATCACACAGATTCCCCCAGCCCAGCCCTCTGCAGCCCCCCGCTCTGGGAGCATTAAGGAAGGTAACAACCCCTCTCCAGAGGCCTGGAGAGGGCAGGGCAGGTGCCGTGGCAACTGGAAGGGGACATGGGATGGTGTCCAAGCTCGTTAGGGATGTGCTGTTTAATGAGCTGGTGGAGCTTTGGGAGTTGTGCTTCATAGATGGGATGGGTACCAGTTGTGAAAGGCATTCTGTTGTGAAACTCTTATCACTAAAACTAAAGAAAAAGGAACTACAGACTCAAGGGAAGATTGGGAAAGCAAAACAGCTCAACTCGTGGCACTGAGTAATATTAACAAAGTCAAAGTCATGCACATGGCTGATTCTAGAACTGGCAAACAGGCTTCTAAAATCTGGTTTTATTCTTTTGTTCCTTCCTAACCTGCTGTTCAATCTCCTCAGGCTTTTGTTTGTACCCTGTGTTTGGAAACAAGACAGAACATCTGAAAGTGTTGTTCTAAATATAGTGCAATGCCAATAAAAGAGTTTGTTTCTAAACCTAGGCGGTGCTACTGGGAAATAATACATGAGCTAAAACCTGGGACAATTTCCCTGGCTCAGCCTTCAGCCAAAGGTTCATCCCACCCAAGAATCCTCAGTCATGGACCTGAAGTATTTCTCAGCTCATACTTCATCTAAGTGTCTGGATTTTTGAATCAGAATTTATTTCCATAACCAAAATAGTCCAAATCCACTCATGACTTCTCTGAAGCTGCTACATGTAAACTACTTTTTGTATGATCAGTAAAAAGGAAAATGAGAGTTGCCTTCATTATTTTTTCGCTTCTTTTTTTCTCCCCTCTCCCTCTTCACTTCTCCCCAAGTGAATTAGTTACACTGCACAAGTCCTTTGGATCCCAGAGATCGTGTAAGGAGATTTGATGTGCCTGAAATGACAGACTGAGTGCTGGACTTGATGATGCTAAAGCTCTTTTCCAACCTTTTCCATTCTATGAGTCAGCTGACTCTCACTCAAGGTGGCCCTGCAATATCACATAAATGTGAGGAAACCTCTCCCAGCAAAGCAGTGATCTGGGGCTGGAGCAACGGAGAGCACAGCCAGGAGCCTGCCCTTGCTGCAGCAAGGGAAAGCTGCAGCTCAGCTCTTCTCCATCCTGCCATGCAGCACAGGCAGGGCTGTGGGCTGGCAGGGCAAGACAAAATGCTCAGCAGCAGCTTTCTTGTAGGAGGGAGGAGAAACAGGAAAGCTGGGGTGAACAACCCCATTCACAGACATTAACTCTGCACTGTCTGGGGAAATAGTGCCAATATTCTTCACGTGTGTCTTGGTTTGAACAGACAGGTGTCTGTTAAGGAAGGCAGGGGCCTTCCTTGAAAAGGAAAATGTAAGCTCTTTCTCTCTGAATTATTATAATTTTTTAATTAAGGGGTTTTCAGATAAAGATATGGAAATAGGAAGTTTTTTTATGAGGAAAATTAACAAAAATACAAATGCAATAGTACGAAAAACCTAGAAAATAAACTACTGACAGAGTTAGAACACGACTTGACACTCTGTTGGCTAGGGTGTTAGTAGCAGTTTTGATTAAACAGTGGCTGTAGTTTTCTTGGAGTGACGGATGTGGTTTTGTTGAAGCAGTGATTTTGTAGAAGGGTGTAGGGGTTTTTTTGAAGGTCTGGTGATGCTGTAGGTGGGTTTGGTCTTTTTCTGGGAATGTAGTGGAGAAGATAGTTGTTCTTTTGGGAATTTAGTGGGGAAAGGGTGTCTCTGTTGTTTTAAGTCTCAGATTATATTTAGGTAGGAATGTCTGGCTCTTCTTTCTGGGTGGAGCATCTTACAATGGGATGATGTAATTTTTATCAGCCATGCAGGGACACTCAGTGGCCTATAAATAGAAGATATCTCTCTGGAGGGAGGATTGGTTGTGGAAGAGATAAAGAAAACTGCCCAGTGAACAGAAGATAACTGCCCTACTCCTAACAGATGGCAAATAGAATGCACACATATCTTACAAGTCAGGACAATGTGCCCCCTTTCAGCTGCTTTGCCTTTGTTGCAGTGACCACTCTGTGTGCTGGAGGACACTCCTTACCACGATGCCTCTGCTGCTTGTCAGTTTTGGATAAAGCTCTTATCCTTCCCTTCCCAGATATGGTGGAGATGATGCTGATGCAGAATGCTCAGATGCACCAGATCATGATGCAGAACATGATGCTGAAGGCTCTGCCACCAGCCCTGCTCACGCAGCCTGGGGGAGCCGGCTGTGCCCCGCTCCAGCACCCGCGGCAGGTAACACCACCCAGCCTGGCTGTGCTCTCCATTGCTCCAGCCCCGATCACTGCTTTCCTGGGAGAGGTTTCCTCACATTTATGTGATATTGCAGGGCCACCTTGAGTGAGAGTCAGCTGACTCATAGAATGGAAAAGGTTGGAAAAGTCCTTTAGCATCATCTTCTCCCTGGGAGGGCACCAGGCCTGGGCAAAACACACAGAGAGCTGGGAGAGCCAGAGCACTGTGGAGGACACTGTGCCTTAGGAAAGATGGCAGAGGAAGAGCATGCCCTGATGGCCACCTTCCTCTCCAGGCCACCCTGGCATGCTGCATTTCCCTGGCATTGACTCATGGAATAAATTGGAGGGAGTGGGGGCTGAGGATCAGGTGAAATCTGAAGTGACCATGTGTTCTTGGACCTTCTCTACTGGAACCTGCAGATTGTTCTCCAAAGGTCTTCCTTTCCCAGGGGGTGGCTGAGTGGAACCCTGCCCCCTCACCTAGGACCCCGTGGGGGGCACAGGTTTCTGCAGCCGCCCTTTGTCTCTCTCCAAGAAGGAGCTGCAGCTCGCTGCTCCCCTGGCCGCGAAGGCAGAGAGGCCCAGGGCACCTGTGGTGCACCACCACCACCACTACCCTCCCACGGGGGTGCTCCCAGTGCCCCCCAGCAGCTTCCTGCCCACCTCCACAGAGCAGCCCTGGAGCAGCGGCTCTGCCCAGCCCATGTAAGTCAGCAGGAGCTGTGACGTGCGCTTGCAGTCCTTTCTCCCTGCCCAGGTGGGGTGGCAAGGCGGATTGTGGGGTAAATGTGGGGATCTGACAAGGGTGAGGATCACACTGGTTCCCCACCCTGCCTTTTGGGTCTCCCTGTGAGCCCAGCAGTCACCTGCTAAATAAATCAGGGCTGGGGAGGGGATGGGGAAGTCTTTTACATTCAGGCTAAGGTTCCCAGCAGGGTTTATGTTCTTAAAGCACTGCTGGGACATTTGCTACTCAGAAATTCCTGGGAAAATAAAAACCCAAACCACCAGCTAAGAAAAATGGTACAAAGAGAGGGGAGTATCAGAAATAATGTTGAGCCTTTGCCATAAGCTTGTGCTTGCAGCTGAAGGGGGTGGATTTCAAGTGCAGAAATGGCTGAACTTCTCCCCAGGATGCTCCCAAATCCATAGAGCCCTTCAGCCCTGTGCAGAGGTCACAGCCAGCTCCTCCAGGGGCTCACTTGCTTTGTGCCTTCCTCTGAGCTTGTCCTGCTTGCCTTCCTAGGTGCTAGGAAGTTCTTACTTGCCAAGGCTGGTAAAGAAATGCCCCTTGCTAGAGCATGGAAGTGCGGGTGACATGGGGACACACCGAGAACTCAACTTTTATTTCTGTCCATGGCTCTTTCAGAGCCTTAGTGAACAGGAGAACAGGATGGAGGCAGCTGCAGCCTTGGGCACGGGTGACCTGCTGGCAGGGGTATCTGTACAGCCCTCTTCAGCAGGGGATTTGAATTCCTGAACAGATTATTTCCCTAATGGGATTATAAGGGATGAACATTTCTACCTATTTCCCCTTGACACGGGTTTGTAATCTGAACCAGTAAAGAACTCCTGGCTCCTGTCAGGATCAGTGCAATTCACTGCAGAAATCAGTAGGTCTTGTCATGGCCTTCAAACTTTTTTCTTCCTCTTCTTCAGCTGCCTGCCACCACAAGGTATGAGACCAAACTCGTCTTTTTGCAGCTGCAGCACTACTGGCTGTCACTAAATACAATAACCCTGTTTTTTCTTGTTGCAGGTGGCCCACATACTGACAGTACAGGATCCTCTGCAAGTGGACCATAGCCTTTCTAAAACCAATAAAATCCTGCTGTTCTTCCTCAGCCATTGACATGTCTTTTTCTTCAGCAACATAAATCAATCACTTTTCCCTCCTTTACTTTTCCCCAGAGGACAGGCTTTCATCCATGCCCATGTTATCCTGTCCTTTTTAGTTTTATTTACGACTTTTTAAAAGGCACCCTCAGAGTTTTTATCAAGCAACACTTTTTCATGCTCTCAGCAGCCTGGTTTTGCTTAATATAGAAAGATGAATGATGATTTTATAGTACTTTCTCAATATCTTCCCACCTTCTGTTTTTAGAGTGGAGAACATCTGTACACTGGGTTTTTCCTCATGCAGTTTGTGAGTGAGTCTGATTAAGAAAACCCAGGGACCTAAAGTTTGTTTGGAATGAAGAAAAGATAGTAACTATCACTGCTGGAAACTAATCATGTGCCGTCTGTGTTTCAAAAACAATTAATGAATAATTTATTTACTATGTAAAACCGACCTTGCCCTTTGCCCTCTCTGCTCTGTTGTCTTTGAGATTCTTACTGCTCTCTGCAACTCCTCACTTTCTACAACTACCTGAAAGAGGAAATGGCCTCAGGTTGTGCCGTTGGATTGAATATTAGGAAGAAACTCTTGACTGAAAGCATTGTCAGACATTGGAAGAGGCTGCCCAGGGAAGCACTTGAGTCCTGTCCCATCCCTGTAGGTCTTGATGTGGCATTTAGGGTCATAGCTTAGTGGTGTGCTTGGCAGTACTGGGCTAACAGCTGGGACTCGATGTTCTCAGAGGGCTTTTTCTGCCTTAATGATTCTCTGAGCCAAATCTGCTGGGGCCTGGCAGGTTTAGCAATAAGTTGTACTTGGTGATACAAATATCTGCAGTTTCACTGTCTGTTTGATTATTGTATTTGGCTCTAATTGGCTCCTCCCTTTGCAATGCTTACTGTGGGCAGCATTGGCTCAGCAGAGCATTTCCTCCCAAGGATGGGCATGTGAAATAATGCCTGCAGAGATGTCTCCTCACAACCTTGTCTAAGTCCTGGAAAGCTTCTGCAGAGCAGGCATGGACCCTCTCCTGAGCATCACACCCCAAAACCCTGCGCCACACACACACAGTTTCCTTGGATGAAGGATGTCCTCAGAGATGGGATGAGGCTCCTGGTAAGTAGTGTAGCTCACAACTCACCCTCAGGAGAGGTTCCAGAAGTCACTCCACATTGTCCCACCACTGCCTCTGCAGTTGCATCCCAGTGAAGCAGCAAAAAGCCTGGCCAGTGCAAGTTCTCCTCCTGCTCTGTGTGTATTCCTTGGAGACTGCAGGATTGCTCTACAGTTTCCAGAGGAGCCTGACTGAATAACACCACGCTGCCATCTCAACACCTCAGGCTCAGCCAGGCTGGCTCCCTGATGGTCTCCGGGCTGGGAGTTAAACTTTAATGTGACTCGGGGGAGAAGAACCCAGGCATGACTCAGCCACCCACATTCCTGCCCTTCCCCTCCCCACTGGCAAGGGCAGAGAAGCAGAGGGATCAGAGACAGAGCAGGGATCTGAGACCCAGGGGTGACCCAGCATGGAGCCCGGTGACCCACGAGGGAAAAGAGTTGCTGTTGTTGGTGGTGGTCTGGTAGGAAATGCCATTTAGCTGCTGCATGATTGTTTGCTGGGGAGCTGGGGCTGTAAAAACACTGCTTGAATGTGGGGGTGAATGTATTTCTTAAAGTCATTCCTCTGTCAGATGACGGGGTGCTGCGAAGGGGTTGATTGAGTTCCTGCCGTGGGAGGCTCCTGCTCTTTTCTTGGGTGAAGGGGTTTGGGGGGTGGGTGAGCAGTGTACACTAAACACCAGCCCTGGTTTGGGCTGCCAGGTTCCCCTGTCCCTTGGCTGATTTTGGCTGTAACCAAAGCTCTAATGTGAAATGCTTTGCAAGAACTGGAACCAGTAAATGTCAGGCTGAGAGGAAATGCCTTCCTCTGCCCACTTTTGTTTGGGGATGGTTTTCATCCACTGCTACTTGCAGAGAGGTGTGACACTAAAGGCCAGGCAGGATGGGGCTCTGAGTAACCTGGTCTAGTGGAAGGTGTCCCTGCCCATGGCAGGGGTTTGGAACAAGATGGTCTTTAGCATCCTTTCCAACCCAAACCCTTCAATGAGTCTCTGATTCACCTACATCTCTCTCTTGACATTTTGGACATTATCTTCTTGGAAAAGAATGATGACAGAAGAGGCTGTAGTTCTGACAACAATTCATAATGGAAATTAAATTTTTTAAAATTATTTAAATTACAAACAGGACAAATTTATAGTGTTCTCCCTCACTATGTTCTCAAGGGAATGCTGCTCTGCCCTTTACTAGTGAGCAAGGTAAACACAGTACAGAGTAGAGCTGGAGCTTGCCTACACCAGCCCCTGCTGTCTCTGGCTGAAGAGGTGAGCCCTGCTCATTCAGTTGCTGTGTGTAAACAAGCCTGAGCTTGGTATGACTTCATAAAAAGAGTTTTGATGGGTGGCTTTTGTCTTGGAGACTCTGCAAACACACAGGGCTGGCAGAGGACTGCTCTTCAGTAAAAAATCTTCTGAGGTTCTTGGTCAAAGGACCTCCCTGTTTATGATGAGCTGCATCCCCTGATCACTTCTTTCCTTTGATGCATCTCAGCAGTGACCTCTGAGATGCTTCATCCACCCTTCCTGACCTTTGTCTTGTAGGTGGGTGCATTAAATGCCTGTTTCTTTGCTAGACGAGGCTTCCATGTTGATGTTTATGAAGCCAGAGAAGGTAAGGTCAGCCTGATCATTTCCATGTGAGCTCACTGAAACTGTAAGAAAATAATGAGAGCTGAGAGTGGCAGTTTGGGGATATTCTTTTCTCTCTCCCCTTTAGCTCTTGTGGTGGGAAGGAGCATTTATTTGAAGTTCATCTTGTGTGGAGGGAACCCACTCTTTAGCTGCTAAAATGATGCCCTTTTTATATTCTTGGCTTAAACACTGATTCAAACCCCCACCTTTGACGCCTGGTCTCTGCAGAAATCATTATAGTACAGTGCTGGGTCAGAAGAAGAGATGGAGCTTCCAGGCCCACAAGGCACCAACAAAAGAGAAATTAGGATTTAGAGCCAAGCCACTAGCTCAAAGGCAGATAAATTTTTCATCTTCAGTATCTGTCAGCTGGCAGACAAAAAAGACCTGGGCAGAGATGGCAAGCCCAGTGGCAGGTGGGAATGATACCATGGAAATGGCTCAAGTGTGCAGAGAAGGGAGGGAGGAGCCATGCCTGGCACTCTTTGGTAACCCTTCCTGCCCTGACAGACATCAGAACAGGCAGTTCTGCTGCGCTGCTTAACACTGCCAGAAGTCCCACAGCTCCAGAAAGCCTCTGATTGCTCTTACCTGCCTTCTGAGCTGGATGGATCCTACTGTTTTTGGCTCATTGCCTACACTGGTGCACATGTTGGGATGAGGAGGCTCTGCTCCATGCACTGGCCAGACAATCCGGGAAATCTAAATGAGCCAGCTTGGAGGAGGAACAGGCCAATGCCCGGACATTTCCACCTGATCAGCCATGAAGGAGGTGACCTGCCAATGTCCCAAAAAGCATCAGTCTGTGGGGCTCAGCAGAGCCTGGCAGGCTCTGCCTGCCATTTGCTCAGCCTTCTCCATTTAGAAGGGAAATGGCTCTTCCTGTTAATGGACCCTCTGGCATGTGGGGTGCTGTCAGAATCCAGCATTCCCTTTGCTGGGCTGGCTGCAGCTGCTTCTCCCAGGCTAGAGGTGGCACGGAGGGTCCAGGCTGTTGCTGCAGGGGGCTTGGGAGATGTTCCCCCCACCAGGCTGAGCTGTCCTTGCCTCCATGACCCGTTGCTGTCCCGTGCAGATATCCGAGTGGCCAGCTTTGCCCGTGGCAGG